TTCATATGGAAAAGTAGCTTATGTCGAAAGGCTGGCTTTAGTATAAATCAGCATTCGCAGCATACGATTGCGAATGACTCACTGGCGCTAAGCCGTTGAACAACTTTTGGCAAATAAACGTGGAAGAAATAGTTCCGATACTAGCAAGTCAATATTCTTATTAAGTCTCATCAAAAAATTCCTTGCCGTTTAAAAAATAAAGGGATTGCCGCATTATACTAAAGCCTGCCTTTCGACATAAGCTACTTTTCCATACGAACACAGATATATTAATTTTATTAGAAATAATGTTTCAACTTTTCCGCCACGCTTTTGTCACAGCAAGCAAGCGCAGAATTTCGTGCCAATATTGGAAGAGAGGCAAATAAGCCACTTGCTCGCTGCAAGTTCCCTGCCATACCTGTCGCCTGCAATGTTGAGTTCGTATGCCCACCTCAATGCCACTTAATTTTGTTTAATATTAAGGATGATGTGTAATTTTAATAAGTAGGGCATGGCGCAAGTACACACAGATGCGAGGAGCGCGGACTACCTAAACTCATTCTCGCTTTTTGAGTAGTGCATTGGCAAACTGAGTTAATGGGGGCAATATAGTTGAATTTGGATTTTTGTAGGTGTATGCGCATTATTTAAAAGTATTATGCATGTAGTACAGTACATGCATATTTTGTAGGGAAACCCGGCGAATGTTTGTTAGATATACTATTTTATATGTCAGTGTTCAGCTAAGTTCCATAGTGAATGCTTTTTATATTTAAATTTAGTGTTAATTACCATCAACCGACTAATTCGCGAAAATTAATTCAACCATGGATGCTTTGCCAACGCACTGCGCTCAGAAAAATTAGAGCGCACAATTAGGTGCTCAACCAAAACTGTGGTTGTAGAGGGGGAAAGTTTATTGACATTTAAAATCAGAGTACATACATATTAGGCTTGGATAGTTCTTGAACTAAAGAACTAGTTCATCTCTATGAACTAGTTCGCTAGTTCGGTCTCTTCATTGAACTAAATTTGTGAGTTACTATTTCTCATTTTGAATCGCGATGCAAATATTATTGGCACGAACCTATGTTGAGTATCCCCATCTTTACTGATGCGTTTTGAAACGCTCTTGCATTTTTTGCTACTTCAGTTTCTTGCTAACGCGTGTTTTCGCAAATATTAAACTACCGTAGAAGCTTTCTAAAGCAATATGTAAGTTTTTTTTTGAGCTCTAACTAAACGAACTAAAGAACTAGTTCATTGCGGTAAACGAACTACAACTGAACGGCTCACTTAAAAGAACTAACCCAGCCAGCAAGAAAACGTACATTTTACGAACATTATGTTTTACGAAAGATTCTCGTATCGCCAAAAAGTTAGAGAAAAGCTCGTAAACGATAAAACAAAAAAAATATAATAGAAAGAGGCTTGTAGTAATTTGTCAGCACAAGAAAAAATTTTAGGTTGCAAACAGAGTGGAAGCGAAGCCGAAGACGAAGATGAAGACGAAACCGAAGACGAAAAACAGTGCAGTAGTAAACATATGAAAGTGATCGCAGTGCAAGCAAAGACGAAGACGAAGATGAAGACGTTGCGCAAGCGGTCAGCTTGAAACAGTGCGGTACTGTTTTCAAAGACGAATCGCTTGCTGTGATGAATTGTTTACAATTTATTTAAATGTTTGCAATTGTGAAAAAACGCGTTTTTCAAGAAATTGGCTAAATTTTTGGCAAAATGTAATCAAACGTATTAATTGGCATTCTTGTATATTTGAAAAATGTCTATCCGTCTTGCCGTAACACATAATACAAGTGGCGAAATTCTCCAAAAGTTGTCCTATACAAATTATTTCATGAATTGCTGTTTTTTCTTTATTTTCTTTTGATTTTATCTAAAAAAATGGTTTTATTTAGAAACAAATCTTCATATCATTCATCTTCCACTATGTACACTCGCCAGCTTGCCCGCAACGCAAGCAATTCGTCTTCGGCTTCGTCTTCATCTTCGTCTTCGGCTTCGCTTCCACTCTGTTTGCAACCTTAGTTTTGTTGAAATTTTTTCTTCAATCACAATATTTTAAAAGTAAGTAGTTTGTTAAATATTCAATTTAAGAAAATTATTAAGTATGTGTTTTATTGGCAGACTGGTGCAAACGAAAAGGACGATCTACCACTTTCTTTTGTAATTAAACTTCGTGTAAGTAGCTACTACATATTTAATTCAAAATTACAAATTAATTTAACGAGTTTTGCAATTCTTTCACAGGCTGCGCGGAGCAACACTAAAGGATTTAAACGTTTAATTCCGCTATAGCGCTATTGGTTTGGCAGCGACTTCGGCAATAAGAAGTACGGATAATAATATTATTTATTACCACTTTTTACTTAATTAAATTTTCCGGTTTCCAATGGAGTTTAATCTTTCACTTTATTTTCTTAGGTGCTTTTCGTCAAAAATTTAACTCCGACGAAGAAGTTTTTATTTATGTTTCAAAGAAGCACTTCCAATATGCACACGACCGGCAAAAAAATTGGCAGCCTATCGGCAAAAAGATAGCAAATAAATTCAGCTACCTTATAATATATATTAAACCCCTCTTATTTAATTGTTAATTTGTTAATAGATAGTTTGTTAATATTTATTTATCTGGAAATATCTTCACATATACAGTGCTGGGAAAAAATATTGGCACAGAGAATTTTTCGCCATGAATGCAAAGTTTTTTATTCTGATTTCTTCTCTATATGTTTTTTATAAAAATATAGTTAGTATGAAGTTCTACTTGAAGTTCTGCTTTTTTAGAAAAATTCTAAGTAAGCAATTTTATAGCCCATTTAATTTTAGTATAATAAAGTGCACGCTTGAATAGCTAGAAAACCTCTTTGTTTTTTGGCAATTTTTTATACGCAGTTTCTTCCATAGAAAAAAAAAATGTCGCACATAATTTGCATGGAAGAGCATACATACATGTGCGAAAAGAAACTCAAGTAAAAAACTTTGCATACATTGCGAAAAATTCTCTGTGCCAATACTTTGATCCGGCACTATAAATACTTATTAATTATAATTCCATTCAATAAAAGAACTACAATAATTTTAATTAATTAATTGCCTTTATTTTTAGCATTCAAAAACAGTAGATAAAGCAGTGTAAAAAACGCTTTTTTAACGTAAATTAATCGTTTATGAGACTCGTTTACAATTAAAAAACGGACGTAAAAATATTCGCATACGAATGCTTTTTCGATCCGTTTACGACTGTTCGTAGGCGATGCACAATTTAAAGCGAAAAAGTGCTCGAAAAAGAGTCGTAAACGGCTATCATAAACGATTTTTAATCCGGTTTTTCTTCGAGAAAATATCCAATTACGAGCTTGTTTACAATGATTTTGCTGGCTGGGTGGGAAGGTGCCCAACTCAAATACATATACACATGTGCATATTCAAATTTTACATTTTTAAAAATTAAAAAAAAAAATGTTGCAATTAAAAACAAAAAAAAAAAAAAATAAAAAATTTGTTTGTCCCTAAAAAACCAAAGTTGTTATTTTTTAATGCATACTCCCTCATTTTATTGATTTTGTCTTAAAAACTATCCGAATTTAATTTTATGCAATTCGGATCAGTTATCAGAATAATCTTGGTGCATTCAGCGTGTTTTGTTAATTTACTAATTTTTCTTCTTTTTAAAACGGTATTACTATACCACCTATAGTATCGGGACATAATATTGAGTAAATCTGCATTTTTGGATTTTTGCTCGGTAGTCAGAATTTTTTCCAAAGGACTATAAATTATAATACACTACCAAAAGTTTACACAAAATATGGATATACTATGTCTATCAATTGAAAGGAGAATTCGAAACATCCCAAATTTTACCTTTAAAAATTTCAAAATGTAGGCAAATAATTTGTTAAAAAAGTTGAATTCAAAAGTTTAATGTTCATCATACGCCCTTTCAAACCAATTAAAAAATAGTCTACAATTGCAAAATTTCCAGCACATGCACAAATTATTCCCCTAAAAAACTAATCCACAGTGCTTTTCGATTAACTAATTTTTTTTTGATGTCCTTGGGAGAAATCCTGCCGTACTCTTTAAGATTTAAGAATGCAGATTTACTAGAAATGCATTCAAATATGGCACCGTTTTTGTTTACGCTAATCTCCGAAACCGCTTAACCGATTTCATTGAAATTTTGTGGGTTTTAAAAGATAGGATAGTTTTGAACTCGTTTTTTCTTCGAAATTTTTTCTATGCTTCTCGCAACTTTCTTAAAAATTCAGTGTCGCTATGTTCGCTAACGGTAACTACAAACTGCCCATATCCGAATCGGGAGTTTTGCAATGTTTTTTGCGGCTACGCTTCATCTGTATGTTTATGCACATAAACAGCAACAAAAAATTTACCGTTTGGACTCCATCCAATGTTATTCATTCCCCTGGATGATGTTTGAAGCGTTTTTTTCAAATGAAACGTAACAAACAATATGGGTCTTCACACCGAGCTCGGAATTCAGTTACTCGGTCTCCGGTAATTTTTTCTTATGTAATTGGTTTGTGTAAAATAGTCTTGACTAAAACTTAACTCTTTAACTCCGGGAAATATGCTCCTGTGGGATAATTTTTTTTAGGCAGGCTTACCCCAGGCCCTTCACTGTGATTTCTTTATTTGTACTTTTTTTCCTTTAACAATAAAATTCAAGTCGGTACTATTTTTAGCAAAAATAAAAATATTAAGAGAAAAAAATTTGCACTATGTATTTTCTAATGATGACTAAACCAAACCAGATATCAGCGCGCCACAATTTGTTGCTTAAGATAAGTTTTTTCGTCCTCGCGCTATGACTCGGCTAATTTGGACAACTGTTTTATGCCTTAAAGCCGCTTAGAAATTTTTAGTGGAAATTTCAACCTTAGTACCTTCCATTAAAAATGTCAGCCTCTTTCAGAAAGGACTCGTTGATGTCGCTTTAAAATACTCGTCTTAGCTCCATTCCTCCATTTTGTTCTTCACTTTTTTGGCGGCACATTTTCACGAAAGAAACCGTTCACATTTCCTGGCGGGTCATAATTGGCGACAACCCAAGCCTTTTCACCACTAAATAGGATAGGTTATAAGAAATAAAATATTTCTCTTCAACTCTCAACTCACGACACAGCATAAGCCACGCCCACTTGTTTTGTATCGCGCCATATAAGCTGTGTAAAATGGCCAGTGTGCGGATTAAATTGCGACTTGGCAAAGTCATATTTGGCGATCTCGTCGTACCACATTTTCACAGGCATTTCAGGTGTCACCTGCTGACCGCTGCTATAATAAATATTTTCACCATATTTGCCATCGGGGCTGTGTTCCATTTTCTGGCGCTGTGCGAGATTCTAAAAGGAGATGGATGTAAATCATTAGCAAATGCGCAGTTGTTTGAAAAGTGTTTGGATAATAATTTCTACCAACTTACATGCGCCCATTTGGTTGCCACCTGCGTCAGTGTGGGGTTAATGGTGAGCGGCGCTGTGCCGTGTGTGACACGAAATTTGTTATGCGATTCAACGCAAGCCTTTTCATAGTCCTGTTGCGACATTGTAATGGGTATGGGCTTCGGTGGATTTGGATTACCACCGGGCGGAATCTTTTTAACAATAACCTTACGTTTAACAGTCGCCATGCCGTTAGAACCAAATTAGTTAGGCCAGCTTTACGACATACATCACAAAGTCGCAGAGCGCTCGAAATGTGTATTTACTGGAAATTTTGTATGTTTCGGAATTTAGAGAATGTTTTGAAATCAAAATGTAAATAATGAATGAAAATTCATGACCGCATTTTTTATTTGTCTTTTTGTGTGTCCCAAAAACCAAAAGGCCAAGGCTGAGTTGCTTCGAAAGTTTTTAAGTTTAAATTATTTAAAAACGAGTACGAGCATAAATTAATTAAACTAATTAAAGTTTCCCCTTTTACACTTTCACCCATACACACAAACTCCTGTGCATTCCCACAAAATTATGTTGACCCTTTGATGCCAAAATACTCATAAGTACTCATTTGTTCATTGCACACACACTCACATTCTCCAACCAAACCGCAGAGTGCTCTTCAGTACACTTCTACTAGCAGCACTTGAATGTCTGCCCACTTGGCTTTCGGGTAGAATGCTTCACCTGAGGCGTTAGCGTTGGAATAGGTGTTGAAATTCTTGCTATCTGAATATGCGAAAGATGCAGGGTAATATTTATGTATTTGGCCTCATAAAATGGGGTATTTAAAATACCTGGCAATTTATAGGAGAGCAGTGAAAGCATGATACAAAAAAGAAGGTAGTTTCATTTAATGACATTCGTTGTTGTTGTTAACCATTTGACTTTTAATCATGGTGTAATAATAACAAGGTGTTGTCAGTAACTTAACCTCACTTTTTCGGCAGGTCTATTCCGGTCACGCATTTTAAAGTACTAGAAAAGGTACTAATTATTTACTACCTTTAATCCGTTGGTGCATACTATTTCAAATTAAATGTAGAAAATGTATATTTACAGGCTTATATGCTTGTATCGGCAGCTCCACACAGCTTGGACATATATTGTAACTTTAAAAAAGTAAAAGCCGTAAAATAAGGCAATTTCCTATAAGACTGTAAATTATTTTCTAAATAGATTAAAACACATAAATATCGATAATATAAGCGAATTCCTAATTTAACCATGCAGCCACTCTATTCTAGTGTATCAGTAGTTCATTTGGCTCAATATTATGACAATGCAGCAAAGGTTATTTAATATAAAAAAACGCCTTTCCATACGATTTGTGTGTACGTTTGTTTTCCATTGATAACCAGGATATCTTTTATTTTTCTACTTTTTGAGGACAAAAGTTATACAAATCCAGCAATTTTAAATATTAATATTGTTCATGATTGTGTTGCTTATTGGCCGTTTAGTATAATTTAATAATTTATTTTTGAGCTATAGGCCGTTTGTTAAATAAAACATTAAATGGTTTTCTGTTTTATTTACTTTTTAGTTTTATTTTGGTCGCCTTCAGCCTGAAGGTATCTTCAGGAACTATTAGCTTTGTCCGGTCGACCGGACCAAAATAAAACTAAAAAGTAAATAAAACAAAAAAACATTTAATGTTTTATTTAACATACGGCCTATAGCTCAAAAATAAATTATTAAATATTGTTCTGAAAATACCAAGTTCTTTAAAAATCGCGATAAAACGAATTACTAAAATGGAGTATTTTAGATACTATTTCACAACGAATAGTACTATAAAAATTAAGATCGGCAGCACTGAAAATAAGCATGCCGATCTTGTCAAAATCACAACAAACACGTCGCTACTGACAACACCTTGTTATTATTCCACCACATGGTGTAATAATAACAAGGTGTTGTCAGTAACTTAACCTCACTTTTTCGGCAGGTCTATTCCGGTCACGCATTTTAAAGTAGTAGAAAAAGTACTAATTATTTACCACTTTTAATCCGTTCGTGCAACTATTTCAAATTAAATGTACAAAAATGTTTAATTACAGGCTTATAAGCCTGAATATATGTTTGTATCTTAAGCTCCACACAGGTTGCACATATATTGTAACTTTTAAAAAAGTACAGGCCGTAAAATAAGGCAATTTCCTATAAAACTGTAAATGATTTTTTAAATAGATTAGTAATAATAATAATAGATAGATTGGCGCTTACTCATTTGGCCGAGCTTCTCCTCCGACTTGCGGCGTGCGCCTTGATGTTGTCACACAAAGCGGAGGGACCTACAGTTTTACGCCGACTCCGAACGGCGATTGCATTTTT